TCAAAAAGTTGCTTTTTATTGTGTGTAATCCCGATGATCATGAAACCACAATTTAAAAGAAGAGAAATGCTAGTGGGACTTTTAAAAAATGATTATCTGCAAATCCTATGTCATCTTATATTTTTAACACAATATTTTATAATGTTACAAAAATTAAAGTTAAACGGTAAGATGACGAAAGTATATAAAAATCCTAATTTGAGAAGGTTCTCTCAACATTCCTCTTAAAAGAAGTAATAGTTTGCGAAATTTCCCAACAATTGGTGTTTATTGTTTAAGGCAACGAGACAAGAAATAGAATCGAGGAGATTTGGGAGTCCTAAAATAATGTGGAGGTGGGACCCAACATTTCCCTTTCTAATGCTTGGACTTTTGCTTCCAAAATTCAAAATTTAATTTCACACACTGCATATCAAATCTTTTGGGATATCATCAAATATCGTCATCGCTCGTATTGTCTTTCCGAGATTGATTTCCCATCTCTCTCGTAGTCATACACACACACATACATATAAATATAAAATATATGTATATATTTACAGCTAGCCAGTGCGGATTGTTGGGCAAACGATTTGATTGTTGTCATCAGAATCCCAGCTCCCTCGGTGTCATCCGATTATGGTCCAACGTGTGGCACAATTTCAGCCCAGCATTTGGCACACTTCATTAGTTTACCCAAACATCCACTAAGTTGTTGATACTTCAATTAATTTGTGATGTGTTAGTTACAGTTGTTCACGTGCGCATCATTTTGTGGTTCTGCCATCTATGCGGATTCTCTCCCTCCCTTTTTTTTGCGACAAAAACACAAAATCTTAATTTTTTCTCTCTGGTCATTGGACCCTTGTTACGGCTTGGAGTCCGGCAACAACCTTCCTTCCTCTTCCTTTTAAACTTTTTCTTCTTCCTTCACCACCCACGCCTCCCCTTCCCTATCTCTTTACCCACATTTTGTAAGCAACACTCCATGTTTGAATGGAGTTCATTGGTCATAACTGATGTGAATCTTTATTGATTCAACAATGCTGTAGACCCACGAAGTAGCTAAGTAGCCTTCCATGGCTAGATTAGTGAGGATTCTCCTTGCTTGGCCATGATTGTTGTGGATCTATACGGCAAAGTTGCAGATATCAAGACTATCGTATCTTTTTTTCACTATGGAGATGATCCCAAATGGTGTTTTCCTCCTCGAATTAGTGTGATTTTTGTTTGTTTTAGCCGCCTAGCAGTTTATGTGGCCTCGCTTTTTAGCAATTTAACTTTGTGTTTTAATCGGTTTTGAATATGTCACCATTAATCTATTGTGGTAGATTTGCCCTGCTGGTTATTGTGTAGGTGTTATTGTTTGTTTCTTATGGTGACTATTTAGAAGAGTTATTATTGCTTGTTATCCTTTAATCTATCTAGATCAAAGATTTGGTCACCAGAGAAAATGCACCCAATTGACACGTTATCGTAATCATGTTGTAATCGTATTCTCTATTGATGAATTATTAGCACGTAATGTTTTCATAAACTTATTATAAAAAAAAGTAATGATAAGTAGACCAACTTTTTAGACTAATTTTGCAAACCACATGATGTGTCATTAGTAAGCATTAAGCACGTTAATCAACACTCAAGTAATAATTTAATTATCAACAACTATGTTATATGGTTTACAAGGTTTAATTTTAAAAGTTAATCTCCTTAATATTATCCGTGATAAGAAAGTTAAAGGTATAATTCGCCGACAAAATTCCAAATCGACATGTTACGCGCATCCAAGCTATTAAAAAACTCGGGCTTAAGACGAATGATCTTCTTCCTCTAACTATTTATTTAAAATTGTATAGGATGCATATTCCAACTACTACTAGCCAAGTAGATACATGCATTTAGACCCCCCCCTCATTGCTAAGTTGTTTTAAATTATGGCTTGAAATCTTCGCCTTGAATCTGGAAAGAGGTATTTTTAAGAATTGGTTGACTTCGTAATCATGAAAGCCATTTCCATTAAACGACCTCTCTTTTACAATTAGAGTCAATTAAAATAATACTGCATTTCATTTTAGTCAAACTTAATCTCAATTTTAATGTTTAGGGCATCAATTAGGTCCCACAAAATTATATTGCCCCGACACCTTTACTTGATTATCAAAAGATCGTTAATCATGTGGGGTTGCAACTCGCCATTGTCCCAAATTCCATCAATCGGGTCGGGTTTGCTCGATAATATAAAGATAATGGATAATCGAGTATTTTTTAAGGAGATGTCAAATTTTAAACTCTAATCAATATGTTACTCTATGTCAAATTATAACTGATGTTTGTACTAAATATAAATTATGAAAATTAATTTTTATTGATTTGTTTTGAAGTGGGTCCTAATAAAAAATTATTTGAGTTGGAGAAAAAAAAAAAAAAAACATTGCCACATGGCCCTTCCAATTTACATTTGATATTTTCATTGGAGATATTCTAAGTAGCAATTGATCACTATTTAACTATGTAGTTCACCATAAATAGATCTATGAAGGCATATTCGGTCATGCAATTAAGGTTGAAAACTAATCACAATTGAAACACATCTCTCATACTTATAATTGTTTTTTTTTTCAAGTTTCTTTTATTATGAACCGAAACATACCATAGATTAGGATCCATGATCGTTGATTTTATAGTTATCGGTTCATGCAACGAGGCCGTTGTAGAATTTTTGGTTTGCTTGACATTGATTTTGAAAAGATTAAAAATACTTTCAAATGACATAAAAAAAAGACATACGCGTTACACTTTATTCGTAAAAATATCTATTATTTACCCTAACGAGAAACGTTTTTATCTACAAATGTTATTTATAATACTTAATGAAGATGCATATCTAGAAATTACTTTCATACGTGACTTTTGGAGGTAAAAAAGAGAATCACGGTGTGAATGATCCTTCTTTTTCTTTAAAGATATGGCATCTCACTTTTTGTAATACGAGTGGGATTGTGGCATCTTTTTCTTTGTTGTTATATCTTGTTCTTGTACGAGCAAATTATTTATTGGAGCAATGGATCTCTCTTTACCAAACAGGCAATGAGAACAAATTTTTTTTTTTTTTTCCAACCACAAAAGGAAGATTTGAGAGGGACAATTGACTCAACTGAGGAATGGGAGATTATGGGAATATAAATATTATTGATTAATAAGATTAGGAAAATGGAATCTCATCATTCCAATGGCGTTTAGGGAAGGTGCTGCTGAACAATCAAGGGTGAAAACATCGTGTGGTAGGCTGGCAATTTTATTTAAATAAACAATGCGTACCAAGCAAACGTTCGCGTAAACTCTTAATAGAGTGGGTTAGTAACGGATTCAGGATTTTAGTATTGGGTGGTCCTAATTAAGGTATGTTAAGTGCTAGTTGGATGACGGGCTGAGGTGTAGCGCCTCTGTGCCTAGACAGGACCTAGACGAACTAGACGAATTTAAATAAATTTATTATATATCATATAAATAATTGCCTATTACACTTAAAAAAACACTAATTGAGATATTGGGTTTATTTAATTAGGTTTATTATTTAATATACAACGTAGAAAAATGTCAGAGTTTTTGCTTTAGTATTTTAGTTAATTTGATGGTAAGAGATGAAAGCTCAAGTGATTACGAGTTCGTAGTATTTTATGAATTGTTTTTCAAATTTCTTATGAATTTATAGTGAATTTACTAGAAATAATGGTGTCAAACATACGGTATAAAAAGTATTGGTTAAATAATACATCACCCCTTTATTAATTAAAATGTTAGGTGACACAAACTGATTGGAGACCACAATTAAAAAGAAGAAAAAAGAAAAATGAGGAGTTTGTCACGTAGGAAGTGGAGAGCGAGTTATTTTCTTTTTCTTTTTCATTGGAACTAAGGTCCAATAACAACAAACCCGTGGTAGTCTTCTATGTGTTCTTCTTCGTCTGAAATTAGATCTTTCTTCTTGGTTCAAAGTTTATGTTGCACATCATATGCACAGCCATGATGCTCTTATCTCTTCCACCACCTGCCCAGACCGTTGCATGGTCCTCACATGCGCTTCTTCGAGCTTCCGAGTGTTCCCGTGACCATCTGATCTCATGAATGGATCCGCCATTGGAGTGGATATACTTTTTTTTTTTTTTATCACTTTGAGTTCAAACTTTCTCTTTGTAAGTAGATCAGATTAAAGTAGAATATTTATTGTCTACCAAAAACACTAAACTCTATCGACTACTTGATACAAACGAACTCATCGCAATACATTGGACGCACACAAGAATATTTGTACCAAACATGATGGCACTAGTGAGATCTAAGGTTTTTTACTATAATGTTCATAAATGGATATATTTTGGGTTGATTTTAATACAAATTGTTTTTTTTTTTTTTTGGTTTTTGTTTTTGGTAGGAAAAGTTAGTGTTCTGTTTGTGCATGCTTAAACTACTAAACTAATTACACTCAAATCAGCGGTTGGCTTTTATGCTTAGGAAAATGACACAAAGCTTAAAACAAAAGCACAGAATCTAACAACAGCAACTAAAATCGAACCCCATTTTTCATTCCTTCATATGGAAATGGAAGCAGAGAAAAAAGTGGGATGTGTATTTTTGCTTACTGACTCATCCTCCTCTCAAAAGGGAATGAAAACGACTGCTAATTAATCTGTTTAGAATTGCTAAAAACGCTTTTAGATATTAAAAAGTGTTTATGACAATGTTTGAGCTGAAAGCTAAAAGTACTTCCGAGTTAAAAAAATCGTTTAAAATGTATCAAACATGGTGCCGTACTACGAAAAAAACATTTTTATTAAAAATGCTTAGGGCAAAAATAATTTCACGACAAACATATCCAGGGTTTCAAACTTTATTACTAAATGGGCTTAGTTACCATTGGGTCGGGTTCGAAAGGCCCATAATTGTTCAGTCCGAGGTCCGTAGTCCGGAGTTCGTACCGTATAAACGTATCCAAGTTCAAACGAGAGAGAGAGAGAGAGAGAGAGAGAGAGAGGAAGAGCAGAGTTTTCTGCGAAACCATGGAGTGTGCCGGGAAGGGACTGGGTACTCGGTGCACGGGCCCACCCACCAGACGATGTGCTCGCTGTGGAGCCGTCGCTTACTGCGCCGTAGCTCACCAGGTACTTCTCTCTCCCTTCTCTCTCTCTCTTTCTCTTCGATTTTCTCTGCTTCATGCAAATCACACAGCATAATCACGGTTAATTTAAGAAAATAGCACTTGGGTTAGTCTTAATTTGTGCTGAAATGGCCTGTGTGGAAGGGATGAATTGGTTTAATTTGTTTGTTGAGTTGGGTTTAGGGTGTTGATCTTGGTAATGCTGCTCGCAACAAAATTGTATTGCAGTTGAGCTGAAAAGTTTATATAATTGGTTTGCTTTTCTTTGAATTTAAGCGATTGCCCGTCCTACTATATAACTTTTTGGCCTAGATTGCGCATTGGCCTGAGCACAAAGAAGAGTGCGGAAGGTTAGAACAACATATGAAGCATATGGACACCTTGAATGAGTTTCCATTCACTTTTACTCAAGAAGCTACGGTTCAGGTAGTCCACGATTTCCTTGTAAGACGGAAAACATTGAGTAATGTCGTTTCTATTAGCTGGTTTACTATCCGAGTGTCGTCACTGATAATATCTCTTTCGGGTGTGATCTTGTTAGGTGTGTGAAAAGCAGGAGACGAGGTGTTCAGTCTTGGAAAAAAGAGGGGTCCATCAAATGGGAATGTGGTTGTATGAATGTTGTTGCGGGGATTCAGTTATTTCGTTTGATTGTTTAAGGTTTCGTTCTGCCTGGTACATCTGAATTTCTCTTTATTAGATCGTTTTCCACGTTGATTCTAATTCCGGTCCTTCATATTTTTCCATTGGCAGGTTGAATAGTTCTTGGGATCTCTCGAATACCTTTTGCCCTTGTACTGGTATCGTCTTGTTCATCTTACTAAGATAATTCAAGAGAAGTTTATGTTTGTAGATTTATGACATACACTTGCAAACCCTCTATTTATAATATCAACATGCAGAACCTTCAGTTATGATATCAGAGTGTTTAACCAGTTGGAAGGAGTACTATGAGTGGAGGTCCATCCCGCTGCATTCACCTGTTGCATTGCTTCTCCATTGGGTATGATAGGTGTGTTAGCTGAGAGTTAGAATTTGTGTATAAAATCAAACCCGAACAATTTGTAAACAGTTGGGAGAATGCATATTAAGGAAAGATACCTAATTGTCTTGAGTACATGGAAGCCTAATTTAGGTTTTGCTCCCATCCAATTTAAATGCTGTGGACCTGCTTGTTTTTGGATTGTGAATTTGTGTCTAAATATTAACATCTGGTCTTTCATTTAAAGCCTCTTACAATTTACTACGCCACTCAAGTAGCTGGTTTGGGAAGCTGGACTTCTGGAATCAGCGAGAAATTGTACATACATTATCTTGGTATGTGTTTCCTTCAAATTTCTAACTCTGCGACCAATGCAAATTTTGGATAGTCATCCTGTAGGTTGTCGGGTTTGATATCTATGGTTTACTATCTTTGTTATATTGAAATTTCTTTCGTGATCTGAACTTGGTCAGGCCCTGAGAAAGAGCTTCTTCAGCTTTCTCTCTTCTCAGAGTTGCATGCGCTTTTCCCTAACAGGAACGTGCATTTAGAGCTTATTGGGCCTTTGATTCCACAGCATAGGTCAGTACTACAGTTTGAAATGATGTTTTACTTGGTATTCATTTATATTCGCTTTTAATTGAACTTCACTCATGAAGATAAAACAAGGGTTGCTTGCTTGTGTTTGCACTTTTGTCTTGAAATTATCTCTCATTCGTGTTTGACTCTCCCTGGCCTCTTTGAGATGGATAGAGATGGCGAGATGATCACATTGTCTGATTATGCACATTGCATTGATAGAGATTGCATTTGTAAATCCTCAAGTAAGACTGTCAGCGGGGATGTACATACTAGTGAACCTTCAGCAGTAACATTGCAACTTAGAAGCGGCTTTTATCATGACCGTTACATGGATATAACTAAGGTTATATACTTTATCTCTTTCTATGGACATAAATTCATGCTAAGGATCATATGTTTTCCCTTTAGCCTTATCGGTTTTCCTTTTTGTGGTTTCTCATGACTTCTCTAATGTGTGTAGGATTCATCACCTCACTTAGTCATTGCTCCAAATGCAGGAATTGCGGCCTATTCAAGCTGGTTACCGACTATTGTCAGTTTTTGATACCAAATCGTCTCTTGTTTTGGTTCCTTTATTTTAATCCTTCTCTCTTAGTTTTGTTGGTTGCATGGCGGGGTGTTTCAGGAGCTAATAAAGGATATGAACATCCCAGCAGTTTTTTCCGATTACTGCAAAGAAGCTTGTCATCTTGGAGCTCGTTGCATAAGCAGCATAACTGGCCGTCCTCTCAATATCCCTGTATGTTAACCTTACTCAACTGTTATTATAGTCTGGCATTAAACCATAGCTGCTTAATCTGATCATACCAAAATCCATGCCTCTGCCATGTAGATTCAGTTAAATCCGTTTAGGCAGCCGATGGTGGTGGAAGACAGTGTTCTTGTTCTTCCTTGCTACTCGAATTGCTTCCTCTACGGGATGTCAAATTGGGGGGTCTAAAATCATACATTGTTTTGTAGATCGCCGGCTGCTTCAAATGAGGCTGCCGCGTCTCTTGACGAAAAGGAGGGCAAGTTATCAAGGTTGACGAAACCCATTTCGTGATGATTTTTTCTTCAAATTGTGTGATATATCTCAGTCAAGAGATTTGACAAAATTGTATAAGTTCAGTTGATGATGTAAATATCTATTTATATTTATTGCAGTTAGAGCTTGGTGATGTTGTACATTCTTGTCAAAATTATCTAACGCAATTGACCTCACGTAATTCTAACTCGATCTCTCCTTCCCACCCTCACCATATCGACCAAACTCGGGGCTTAATGTATTTCTCTTTTAGTTTTTTAGATTAAAATGGTGCGCGTGTTTCTTTTATTAGTTTCCGCGATCATAATTTTCAAACAACGCGTCATTATTCTTGATTCTCACGATTGAATTTTAGACGACCGCTTACTTTACGGATGAGAGATTTTTCAATGTGACTGTAACACAGGATGATACATCATATGTCGTTATACAAATGGTGAGATATGTGTTTTAAAAAGTTAATAACTTAAAAAATACAATTTTTCACCATTTATATAAATACACGTGATGTACCATCTGTGTTCCGGTAACATGGAAAAATTTCTCCTTACGGACCTCACTAGGGAAACATAAGTTTTGAGGGAGACGGAGAGTGCAATGTGAAGCATACGGTGTCGTTTCTACTAATCATCCAACGGACATAACAGAACGTAGCCGGCGGTCCGAACTACCTTTTAAAACAAAATCTAACGTCGGTCAATGAAAAACCCAAAATTCCAAAAATTTCCAACAAGGAACATGGATAATCACCACCTCTGACCAACGACTTCTCTTCACGTCCCCAAATTCTAGGGTTAGGGTTAAGATTTTCCCGCCCGGAAAATCCCATCAATCCGATCAATGTCTCCCTTCTCTCCCACACCACGGCTGCTGTTACTTCTGTTATGCTTTCTAGGGTTGGTATTAGGATTTGGGGACGCTCTGAAGGTGCCCCTTAGGATCAAGGACGTGCTTCCGGTTCTGCCGAGGCAGATATCGTGGCCGGTGCTTAACAATTTCCATAGTGCTGTGGATTTGTTGCCTTCTTTTATTGGGTCGGTGACTCCGGACAACAGCTCGATTCAATGGGATGGAGCTTGCTTTTCCGGTAACCAGGCCCGGCTCGAGTTCACCGAAGGCGATCGGGGCAAACCCGATTTGGGAGGCGGCGTTCTTTATCTAAAGGTTCCATCTTTTGCTTTTGTTCCTTTAAATTTGATTTGAAATTTGTTAGGTTTTATGTGGGTACTTGAATAATTGAATGCTTTTTTATTGGTTTTATCTTGAATTGAGTAAAATTTTAGCTGAATTCAGTTTATTGAGATCTTGGTTTGAACTTTGAGCTGTAAATTATTGTAGATTTTATGGTTAATGGGGTTGGTTTTATCAAATTTGCTAATCTGCAGACTTCTGAGGCACACAGCTGGGCCTGTATGGATCTTTATGTTTTTGCAACACCATATCGGATTACATGGGATTACTACTTCTCTGCCCGAGAACATACGTTGAAATTTGACTCGTGGGAAGAGGCTGCAGAATTGGAATATGTATGTGCATTCATATCCGTAATCTGTTTGAATAAGCTAGGAAAACTTGTTTGATTCGAGTTGACACACTGATGACTGTTGAGCAGGTAAAGCAGCACGGGGTCTCTGTGTTTCTCATGCCATCAGGGATGCTGGGGACGATGCTGTCTTTAATAGATGTTTTGCCTCTGTTTTCCAACACTGCTTGGGGTCAAAGTGCAAACTTGGATTTTTTGAAGAAGCACATGGGTGCAACATTTGAAAAACGTTCTCGCCCATGGCAGATAACTATAAATCCTGCAGATGTTCATACTGGTGATTTTCTAGCAGTTTCAAAGATCCGTGGTAGATGGGGTGGTTTTGAGACATTGGAAAAATGGGTAACAGGAGCATTTGCTGGCCATACAGCAGTGTGCTTGAAGGATGAGATGGGCAACCTATGGGTTGGTGAATCAGGACACGAGAATGAAAAGGTATCACATCAAGAACCTTTGTAGGTCATAGTGGTTAAAATGTTAAGGGATAGTATGGCACAAGTCCACCGTTATGGTATATAGCTTTAGTAAATAAACATCACTATGTACATTTCATGTTTTCCTTTTGCTTGTTGGGTCTGGATTTTATGGTGTAGGTTTCTTTGTTGCCTTTTATACCTTATTTTCAATTGAGTACATGCTTACGGAAGCAACTCATTTCATGTGTTTGGGATTTATTAGGAATAGAACAACAACAACAAAGCCTTTTCCCACTAAGTGGAATAATAGTTGAATCAGGATCGTAGTGATGAACATATGATGAGCGATTGTTTAGGGACAAAATTAAATATATGACAATCTTGCACAGATTCTTAATTATTTTAAACTTTGCTTAGTTCTTTTCATTTTGTAGAGTTATTGTGCTTAGTTCTTCTCTTTTTGGTGATTTTACATTTATTAATAATTTAATATTGCAGGGTGAAGAAATTATAGCAGTGATTCCATGGGATGAGTGGTGGGAGTTGACACTCAAGGATAGCTCTAATCCACAAATAGCCTTGCTTCCCTTGCATCCAGAGGTGCGTGCAAAATTCAACTCTACTGCAGCATGGGAGTATGTTCGGAGCATGTCAGGGAAGCCATATGGTTATCACAACATGATATTTAGCTGGATTGACACCATGGCCGACAACTTTCCTCCTCCTCTTGATACTCACTTGGTAAGGCATTTATTTCTCTAAAAAATTATGGGGTGTAGTACAATAAGCATTATAGAAATTGTTTGTAAATGAAGCACGGTCTCGTTGTGCTGGTCGTCAGTTTATTTTATATTGTTATTGCACACACACACACACACACACACAAGCTTCATAATGCTTATTATGATTATTATCCACATACTACTACGTAGGTATGTATGGTTTTTTGGGTGTAGCGTGTTTGGTTTTATTGAGTTTTGTATTCTAATCGGAACTCCTGTTTTCAGGTTGTTTCAGTCATGTCTATGTGGACCAGAATGCAGCCTGCATATGCTGCAAATATGTGGAATGAGGCTCTCAACAAGCGGCTTGGTACAGAGGTAACTGTGCTTCACTTGAGGTTGCTATTAAATCATGTTATTTCACATCATACGCCGTACGGTTTACTTCTGTTGTTTTTTTGAGAAATGAAGGATAGAGGTCTGCTTTTGGAATTCTAATCATCTTCCAAGTTTATTCAAGTATTTTATCTACTTGCTGCATATTGAATCGTTTCTGTATTTTCACCTGTGTTTTTCCTCGTAGGGTTTGGACCTGTATGAGATTCTAGCTGAGGTTGAAAGTCGCGAAATGGCCTTTGATCACTTGCTTACAATTCCTGAACAAGATGAATGGGTATATAGCGATGGAAAATCTACCACATGCGTTGCTTTTATTCTTGCAATGTATAAAGAAGCCGGGATTTTCGGACCTATTTCCAACTCTATTCAAGTTACTGAGTTCACTGTAAGTCACTTTGCACTTAAATTTATTTTCATTCACTTTCATAAGTGCGCTATACCAATATTACTACATATGACATGGTTTTTATTATACTTGCTCGCAGATTCGTGATGCATACATGCTTAAGATTTTTGAGGATAACCAAACCCGCTTGCCAAGTTGGTGCAACGGTAAGGACGAAAAGCTCCCATTCTGCCAGATCCTTGGTGAATACCGGATGGAACTGCCTCTATATAACACATTAGAGCCGTACGCTAACATGAACGAGCACTGCCCCTCCCTACCTCCTACTTACGACAGACCCACTCGTTGCTAAATCCCAACTCCACTAGATTTGTACCTCCCACGTAGGTAGGTATGACAATTTATCAAGATGCAGGTATCTATTAAAAAATTCGTAGCACATTCGAGTGAGGAAACAGGCATTTCTCTCCTTGCTTGTTCCACAATATATGTACATTTATTTAGCTAAAGTGAAACAAGGAAAGAAATGCCTGTGTTGTTTCACTTTAGCTAAATAAATGTACATAAATTGTGGAACACGCAAGGAGACATGTTTACAAACTTTGTTATATAAAATGTTTGGAAGTGTATAGTTTGTAAGTTCCATAGATACTCAAAACTATTTATTTTGAGTTTGATGTGCGGTCGAGAAATTCTACCATGCAAGCGGGAATACGTTTCTCGCTTCCTATCTCTCGTCGCACGCTTCTGTTTACGCTCAAGAATCTCTCCGGGAAACCCAAGAGGGTTCCTTCCTCAACTATTGGAAATTCAGTTAGGAACAAGTTTTAACAGCAAAATGAATCGAAGCATGATTTGGAGACAAAGAAATCCACCAACTGTGATCGCGCAAATATGTACGTAAAACACAACAAACCGATAGAAGGAGATAAAAAAGGACAATAACGAAGAATTGTGGAGGATTTCTTTCTACGATTGTTGCTTGGTTCTACTGCTCTCGGCTTGACTTGTACTTGCCCTTGATCCAATTGATGCCCAAATGACCTGCTATTTTAACCCTATTCATACCAATTGATGCCGCGGTTTTTATTCTTTCAAACCCTTCTTCCACTTTTTTAGTATGGCTAGCCTTGGCGCCTTCACCGGAGCTCGCCTTGGTGTCGGAAACAGGAGCTGTGTCTTGGTTGCTGCCAGCCCCTTGATCTGCGCTCGTCCGATTCGGCCTAGTCGATTCCATGGACACTCTTCTATTCTATCTGCACTCAATTGAGATGCAGAATAAGAGTTTTCTTGGGATTCAGGAAATCAAAATATGGGAATCAATTTGCTTGTATGCCAAGTAATCATTTTGGCTGTGAGAGGGCTGGTCCTTGTATATATGCATATGTCTGCCTGAAATCACGGTCACAAAATCTTGTTACAGAAGAAACCAGAAAGAGGCACAGCTCAAAGGAACAGAAGAACTTTCTTTCCCCCACAAGTAAATAACTGATATCGTTGAACCTTCTTGTAATAAATTAAAAGCTCTGGTAATGGGACAGTCGTAGTTGCCACCTCTGGCCTGGTGGAAGCTTCCCTTTTTGGAAGGAGGGGGAGGGAGTTGAAATATAGTTCCTTTTTCGAAGCTACAAGTCAACAAAAGCATATCTAAATACAAACAGACGAACCAGGAATTTGCTTGGAAGGACAATCCTCGGATTCAGATAACGTTATT